ATATGTGCTTTCATCTTTCACTGTCTCTCAGAAGTTGTGAGTATTATTGTCAAGGCTAATCAACATAAGATTGTAAGATTTTTCCTTTTAAACCATATATTTCAGTCAGGTACCTAGCTCTGGTAGGCATGTTTATCCATTTCAGCTCCTTACTGAATTAGCCTTTGAAACTCTAAAGCTCTGTTAAGTTTTAAAGAATTTTGTCACTGTAACACTCCTTTGAGTGTGGTTTTGTTTGTTTGTTTGGGTTTTAAAACATTCCACATCTTGTCAATGTTTGTTTATTTTTGTCTTGATAGAAAAGATTGAGGAAGTCTATCTTAATTCCTTCAAACCTACACAGATAGATCTAAGAGCTGAATCATATAGCTTAGATATACATTTTTTGAATGAAAGATGAGACCAGTCTGTATGTTCTGTACACAGTTTCATTGCTTTCAGGGCATCTGCTAGGCTCTGACATCACGTGTGATCTCTGGGGATCATAAGAATTAATTGAACCTCCTGAGGCTAACTGATTCCCAGGGGTTGGAATGATACTTGTTATAGCCCTTGCCTAGACAAATCTGCTGCAGTGGTCTGTCTTGTCTTTATTTCTCATATACGCTGTTGTCCCTTTCCCAATCAATCAATAAACAAACAAATAAATGGCTAGGTGGCTAGGAGGTATACTTGTTTAAGTGAAGAAGGTATGTGAGGAAACTTAAATAATGTGTGTATGTGTATGTTTAAAAGAAATCGCTATACAGCAGGCTTGATTTTCTTTCATCATGCCTAAACATTAGTATTAAAAGTGTTGCAAACCTCCAGGGATGGACATTGAAGAGTACTTTTAAAGTCAGTTTTAGAGAGGAAAGGGACCACATAACTGTACTTACACTAAAGAAAGTGCTGTTGCTTGTTTTGCTTGCTGAAGCATCATAAACCTTCATTTCTTTGCCACTTTGTCCATTCATTTTGCTTTGTCCTCTTAACTGTGATCTACTTGTGGTGGTGATGTTCTCTCAACTTTCTAAAGTGCTGGGATCTCTGCTAACTTTTGGCCATGATTTTTCTGTTGTTAGAGAATTTCTTTAAACTCACCATTCCTTTATGAAATCTAGGTTTTGTTCTTCAAATAGCTGCTACATGTTCACAATACTTTTTTTTTTTCTTTCGAAACTAACCTTGTTTCACAAAAGATTTTCATTTTGGTATAATGATATGAGTCACATTCTTACACCACTGCAGCCTCCAAGAATATACTGTTTGTGCATTTTAGGCACAAGCTTTCATACTGAACTATACATAAAAATACAACATGTATGAGAATTGTTGCATGTATTATACTGTTCTGTTGTTTTGCAGTAGGTTGATCCTGGACAGCAGTTAAATAGACAAAGCCACTTGCTCACTCCCCACTCCCAGCTGGACTGGGGAGAAAACAGGAAGAAAAACAGCAAGAAAACTGAGAGACTGAGATAAGCATAGTTTGATACATAAAGAAAAGAACATCAGACTTCTGTCTGTCTTCTTGCCTTTGATTATACTACAAACAATAACAATAGAATGTGTAAATTAACACAGAAATTAGGAGAATAACTTTAGGAATTGTTTTGCTTTTGTCGCATGAGGGGGTTCGTTGGTCAATTTGTGTCAATTCCAGGACCGAATAGTGTCTAAGCTTCTGGGGTACAAAGATAATATTAAAAGTGTCTTCTCACTGTCTGTGCATTACCACAACTTCCTGTGCTTTTACGTAAATATCACCTTTTAAACAAAAATAAACAAACAAACAAAAATCCTCAACTTTGTAGATTTCAAACCTAGCAGAATTATATTACTAAAAAAGTGTTTGCTTGCTTGCTGAAACCGAACTTGAAGACTTATCATATGAATGACTGTTTTGGGTTGTAAAAATGCAGCTTACAAGGGAGGTGTTTTTTGAGTTTTATGCAACTCATTAGATATAATGAATACTATATAGCTTTTTGGAGTCACAGAATCATAGAATGGCTCAGATTGGAAGGGATCTTAAAGATCACTGAGCTCCAATTCCCTGCCAAGGGCCCCCACCAGCTCAGGCTGCCCAGGGCCCCATTCAACCTGGCTTTGAAGACCTCCAGGGATGAGGCAGCCACAGCTTCTCTGGGAAGCCTGTGAAAGGGACTCAACACCCTCTGGGTAAAGAATTTCTTCCAAACATCTAACCTAAATCTCCCCTATTTTAGTTTAAAGCCATTCTCTCTTGTTCTAACATTATCAAACCATGTAAAAAGTCAGTCTCCCTCTGGCTTGTAAGTCCCCCTCAAGTACTGGGAGTGAGGTGCCTGGAGCCTTTGCTCCAATTTCAAGATGAGGATGTGATGTCCACAGGCCGTGCACAAATCCAAATAGAGGATGTCTTTTGCTTTTCCTCCGTCCACCAAAGCAGGAAATAATGTAACAGTTGCTACCAATTAAAAAGAACTGCGTAATTTAAACTTGGTGTCAGAATTTTAAGCTTACTTTTGTTGTAGTTGGGCCAGCAGCAATTGCACTGGTGTGACAAGATACATTGTAGATTTGTTTTCAGAAATTAATCAGGGATTCCTATTCTAGTTGGCTGGTGGAGGCTAAGTGTGTCCCACCAGAATAGCTGCTGGTAACAGATGAGTGGATGGCTTTAGCAAGAAAATATCCCCTAGACTCCACACCAGAGAAAAACAAAGGGAAGAATCGTAGTAGTGCTAATAGTAACAACATCAGTGTTACTGTGTATCAATATAGCATTGATTTCATTGCAGGCAGTTTGTACTACCTATGTACGCTTATGAGTTTAAAAAAAAAAAAACAATTCTGAAATACAAAGTGGGAAATGTTGTAGTTTAAAATCCTGCACTTAGCTCTAGAATGCATTAGATCAGTTTCTTATCCAAAGAATGGTATTGTGCTGACTTCAGTACATTCACCAATGAAAGCTTTTAAAAATTGGTTAGCTCCTAGGTTTATGCCATTTTCAATTTGGGCATGGTTCTTCCTAACACAGTTAACACCTCTATGGCTTTGACATTAAGCACTTCTGTAATAAAGTATAAACTGACATATAAATTAAAAAAAACTAAGAACTATTTAGTACAAAGATCTATTTGTTTATGACAAATAAGATGTCAACAAGAAAGTTGCCATTTGTTAAGGCACTTTCCAAGAAAAATATGTATCAAAACATTATTACTACTACATGACAGTGTGAAGAAGGCATATTCAAAAGTAGCTGATCTCAGTATCCAATCTAAAGTCCATAGGTTAAAAAATAAAAATTAAAAAAAAAAAAAAAAAAGGTGCATCTATAATTTTCTTTAATAATGGCAGCTTTTCTACTTGGGGTTGTATTCTTTCCTTGTCTGTTTCCTTCTGTGAACTTTGTCCAAGTGACCTTAGCTCGCTGCCTGTAAAGCATTTCATGTTTCTTCATTCCTGTCAGCTCTCTAGTTGCAGACAAGATTGTGTACATGGTATTCTGTTAGAAATACTGCAGAAGGAGGGACTTCTGCTTGAATCAGACAAATCAAATTTCACTGTATGTTCTCTCCTCAGGTTTGTGGTAGGATAATTTTGCTTTTAATTATTAAATTTTAGAAAAGTAGAGCAAAATGTTAAAAAGAAAAAGCGTAGGACAAGTAAACAAGCATTGGAATCAAATCAATCTTGTCGTTTCTTTGAACATTATTATCAAGTGCTCTGCAATGACTATGTTTTGAATACACTGGAGGCTCTAGAAAGTGTTGGCCCCGTGGAGGCTGTAGATTGTTTAACCTCAAATTCCAATAAACAGTCTTCATAATCCCGTTGTCACTTTCTAGAGATGAAGGCATTCTGCAGCAAAATGTTTTTTAGGAATTTATCAGCTACACAGTGAGAGATAATTTAATAAGAAACGCAACACATATGGTGATTGGAAAAAGTTTTTTCTCTCATTTTAAACAGCTCAGGTGTGTCTATATTGACCCTCACTGTTCAGCTTGAATCATTAAATACACTATGAGGATCTTCTGACATGGAGTTACTGCTCTTGTCTCCCAGCCAACAGTTTTTAAATAGTCTCACCATGCCTTTTACAAAATCTTTCTGCCATACTTGCATAAATGTTGAAACAAAGCAGTTATGTAACTGATGTTTTGTGCTAACGCTTGTGTTATTTCACTGAATCAGAGAATTTTAGGAACAGGATAGGTAGGAGCTTGAACATCGATTTTTTGCTGTGCAGTTTGCACATGTTCAGCTTTGGAAGATATTACTCAAGCTCAGTACTTGTGTGTACTCAAGCTCAGTACTGTGGAACAAAACCCAAAATTTGGTTTGAATCCCATTCAGCTCTCATTCACGTTCAGGCAGTCTCTTCAGCAGGATATTTTGTGCTGATTCCTTTATTCTAGTTTTAAATGAAGAGAGCAGCTTCAACCCACTGGGTTTCTTCTGAGACTACAGGGTTTTTTGTGCAGTGATCTCTTTTTTCCTAGCTAACATCAGGATTGTTAAATCCCAGTTGCCCCTTTTTTCCATTCCAGATAATGGTGCTCGTGTCTTATCACTTAAACCTTTCAAACAGCTGCCCCCTATCAGTCAGTTTTCTCTTAGCAGTATTTGTGTATTTTTCTGGGTCTTTTTAAGCTACAAACATCTTTCTGGTTTAGCCACATATACCACACTACAGAAATGAATTCTAGTAGATTGGATCAGAAAACAATTTTTCTTTTTTTTCTTTTTTTTTTGCTTCGTCAAACAGCATTATGAATAATTTGCTAAAAACATACCAATAAAATACATTCCTGTATTTCAGAACGTTTTATGTTTTAATGTATTATTTCATACTTTGTTTTCTAAACATATTATTTCGTATTGCAGACTGTATTCTTTTCAACCAATAATACAGAATGAAGTCAGTTCCTAAATGAAAGAATTTAGTGTAAATAATGGTATTTTTTTTCCACGGTGTTTGTACTTTAAGAAAAATAGCAGTGTTTTTTGCTTTTGTCTTCCAGGCTCTCACCAGAGAGATACACCATAGCGTACAAGAGCTGAGAATAAAAGTCAAACAGGCAAAAAAAATGGAAGAAGCAAGGGCATGTAAAAAAGGCCTTTCCCAAGAGTCTGTTCAGTTGGCAGCGTCTATCCTTAATGTTTCAACAGCGGATCTTGAGGAGATATTAGAAGTAGAAGATGATGAGGTAAGTTATTTTAAGGACTTCAGTAAAAAGGGGCGAGATTTGAAGATGCTGTAATTTTCCATTCTTATTGGAAGAGAATATCTAGTTAAAGACTGAAATTTCATTGTGCATCATCTAGCACAAATAAAGAACAGAATTGTTGAATTTAAATTAAAAGGTCAGGTTAGAGATTCCTAAGGTGTCAAGACTTTGGACATACATAAATAAAATATGAATATACTGTTTAGAGCACGCAGATGTAGAGCATTACTTGAAAATCCTTAGCAGTTTCCTTTTTTGTGGGAATATTTGGCAGGGTTATACATTTTAAACAGACTTCTGCATTAATGAAAACAAAATTAGAATGTATCTTGCTGTGCCAAATTGATTCCGTTGATGATTACTTTCTTGAATTGTGATACTCATTAAAAGCATTTCTTGTAGATAAATATTTTTGGAGGAGGATCCATTGCCTTTTTCTGATGATTCTATAATACATTTTTCTGTTTTACTGTGAAATATTTGAGTGTTTCGTAAATCACCTTTTATGGAATATATATAGTAATAGGAATTATCATTATCCAGATATACTGAGACCTGATCAAGAAATACATGAAAAAGCCTCTGCACTTATATTTAGGAAATGTCTAGGAGTTGACCATCATTGACCTGTAACTGTATTTCAGTGAAGACTTAGTCTTCTCTTAGCCTTAATGGAGCTTTACATTTCACCATTTACAAACGAGGATATTCAAATGAGTTAAATAAATTTGCTTTTTATGTGTATGCATGTGTATCTATACGGGTTACAACCACGAATATAAATGTAATGGACTGATCCTTTCCCTGCTTATACACCTTTAAAAACCCTATCACTCTTATATATCCTTGTAAAGCAATTGGCTTTGACAGAATTGTTGTCTGTTTGCCTCATTCTCAAAGTGACTTTTATATCCTATTTCTTTTAAGCAATGTTGGGAATGTATGTGTAAAACGTGAACATGCTCAATATAGGTGATGAGAGATTTCACTACATAAATTTTAAACACATATACCATTTATCAGTGTGTGAGAAAATTGGACATGTAAGATTTCCATATAGAGTACCTATACACATGTACCTATATAGAAAAGTACATATGATTCAAGACATGCACTAACATGGATTTATAAATTTAGCAGAGCCCTCATATTCAGTAGACAAGTTTCAAGTAGCTGGTTCTGAGAGCATCATTCCTACTTCCACATGCTGTTTATTTAATATGTATCTACTATACATATCCTATACTGTTCATTATGTTCTTCTCAGATGGTGTTAAAATATTATGTATCTGTATTTTTAGGAAACAGCAAAGGCAAAAATGGAATCTGAAAAAGACAAAGAATGGCTGCTCTGTATACAGAAACTTCTTGAAGCACAGGTTATAAATTTATTTCTTCCCTTAACAAATTACAACTTTCTCCTCTGAATAGATAAGTGTTTTTAGGTTGTAATTTGTCCATTGTCTTTGTAATTATGCCACCAATAATTATGTAAAGTAACATAAAATCCTTGTTTTGGTAGCATTTCCTTTTTACTTCTCTTAAGAAATCTTAAGAGTCGGTGGATAAAACTGAAGGTATGTTAACCTACAATTTGCTATAGCTAACTTACAGCTGAAAGCTGAAACAGTGCTGAAGAAAACCAGCACAGATCTTGGCAAATGCATTAATTAAATTATTGAGACAGTGGAAAGGATCCATCCTCTCATACCTCTTAGGAAAAAGAGATTTTTTACTATGTGCCTTTAAAGTTAGTATTTGATATGGACACCTGAGGAGTTCATGGGTTTCGATGACCTTTTACTGTGGACCTGTTTCCAGTCAATTCATGTTTTCCTCATAGCCAGACAGCTGTTTATTATCGTGTCTTCCCGCATTCTCTACAATATTTTCTACTGAGACCTCGAGCAGCTTGTTAGTGGGAAGTAAATATTGATTTGGCATCCTGTCAATGCAGAAAGAATGAAAAAATTTCCACCAGAGGCCCCTCAAACATTTTCCTATCGACATTTTCTGGGCAGAGAGGAAAGCTGCATAGAGGATGACAAGGCTGAGACTAGCAGAAATCCCTGAGGGGTCCATTGAGACTGCCGCTGTGACCTGTGTGATACTTCTTCTTCTCTTTCAAGTCTTTTTTTTAATACACACAGAGTCTGCTGGGATGCTCCCCTCTTGTAAGTGATCAAGGGCAGTTTATTGGCAGGTGAGAGCCCTGCTTTTCTAGCCATAGTCAGCTTTTGTTTGGACATCACTGACAACAGACACTGACTCTTGAAACTTTTCCATTATCCTTTCGTTGTCTCCTTTATTCAGGCAATGTGTAGCTGATATCTGAAATGAAATAAAGTTTGATTTATAAATCCGATGTTCCTAATGCATATTCACTAGCGTGAGTCCATTTGAGATGCCGTTCATGTGAATGATTGAAAATATTTTGGTAATCATTTCAAGGGAACAATCTCTTTCAGGTTGAAATGTTTTATCACTGATAGCTTTTATGCTTAGATTGTGACCTGTGACCAGATTTTTTAAGAAATGACAGGTTTTTCCTCTGTCATTATCCTAACTTTCTGCCATTAAGTCTGCTTAATTGCTGCAGTGGAGATGGAAATATCAGTTTACTTTTACTAGCTTGGTCAGAAATATTAGCATTTTAGTTTAAGCACTTTGTAGTGTTACGTGAAACTCAGAAATAGTGGAGAACTACTCCTGTTCATGAAATTGCTCTCGTAATTTTTTTTAAAAACCTATCAATTTCAATATTCTGTTTATATTACTGACTCCAAAACATAAATCAGATAATACGATGAGAAATTCTGGTTGTATTTTTGTTGTCGTTCTTCGGCAGATTGTTAGAAAACACTACACAGAATTTTATCACTTCTCTTTCGATGTAGGGAGACAGCCAGAGCCAGGGCATGGAGAGTGGGGGGGGTTATTCACCGTGTAACCAAACCTTATCGAAAGCTGGGGCAGCTCACTGCACTTGGCCACATCTGTTTGTGTACAAGTTCATAGTGGTTTTCAGTGGTTTTTGCTCCATCTTGTGGGGTTCCTCTGGAGGAGCTCCGAAGGTAAAAGTAATTCTTAGCAAATCAATCTTTAGGATCACAAAGGAATTAGTGCTTTTTTAGGTGCTGCCCGCTCTGCTTTTCCTTTCTGTCCTTGCTAATTCACATGGATGGAAATTGCATAGATTTCTTAATTTCGGCACAGCTCACAGAAGAGTTTTTTGCCCTTTTAATTGCTTAATTCATGCCTTGTCCAAAGATTGGTTGTGGTTTCCTTTTTTAGACATCGGTAGTATTTCTGATCAGAAAACTCATGCTCATGATGGAATTAAAGCTTTCTGCTAGAACTTTGCTCAGAAGAAACTGCTTAGAGGTACAGGTTGACAAGCTGAACTCCTCTGTATTCTGAAAAAAAGGTGCAGGCTTGCTCTTTTCTCTTAATCTGAGAAAATGTTCAGAAGGAAATTGCATCAGATCACTTAATATTGCAGTTTGATATAGTGTCTTTTTGTGCCATTGAGCCAGGACTTTGGAACATAATTGCCCAGCAGTATTGATTTAATTGCCTAGGTTTATTTGTGGACTCCTAATTATTGACTGGAGGTAAATTTAATGGAGAAACCTTTATGAACACTGGGAAACTGCTGCTGTTGCTGTTATACATAATGAACTGCATCATATCCCTTTAGATCATTCTTCAAGCTAATTTTATTCCACCATGACAGTATGATAATGTTTAAAATGTCATAGACATTTTATTTTTATTACTGACATACGCCATTTTACTGCTGCATGAGATTTTTGGGGGGGACTGGGGCAGCACTAGTTGCTTTTTACTGTCATTTTATAGATTCCCCTAAAGTGTAATCATAAAGGATAGCACACCTCTGTTTTACACCTCATCCATACCTTTATTTGCTGCACGCTTATGACTTAAGAAAGTGTAATTTCCTTCAGCTTTACAAAAATGTTAATAAGTCAATGCTAAATATTTTTGCATTCATGAACGTCCCCAGTCAGAATTTGTGTAGCCACTTTACCAACCGCTGTAGAACCATATAGGAAGAAACTTAAAGTAAAAAAATAGAGACATCTCTGCTTCAGGATGTAGTTATGTACAAAAGGATCATCTAATCTGGAAGTACACCCATGTTCTGAATTCTGCAGAGTCAGTAAAAATCACTGGCTGTCTAAACCTACATCTGGAATGGCCAACAGGTGCTTTTTCCACTTTATGTGTTCAAACTGCAACACCCAAGGACTACAATCACTAAAGTATAAAACTGAAACATCGTAATAACTGATGACAGTTAATAACTGGATGACAGTTAGGAGATTCTCTTGCCTTTGAAGAACTCACTTGTAGAGAGGCTTCACAGGAATGCATGCAGATATCCAGTGTCGCTGATGATGTATAGAGACACTGATCTCCTTGTGTGTGGACATGGGAGAGAGAGCCCAGGAAATATATTGCATCGTAAAATATTGGGTATCTGGGAGTTTGTAGTGTTTGTGGAAGGAGGGTACAATTATGGACATCTTGATATACAGGTATGTTGATAGTTTGCATGACGCTTTTAATCACGTGGGGTATTTTCTCCCACGTCACCTGCTTGTGTATGGCTTGTTATTTGAACCTGACACAATGTAGTAGCATTCTCTGTTTATAATCAAGAAAAAAACCTTCTCTAGCTTTTTTTCTATTACAAGGAGCCTTGTGTAATCAAATTGAAAGGATGACTTCTTTTCACAGCTTAGACAAGATTTCTTACCACTCAAGGCTTTCCTTCATTGTGATTGATTGTAAGGGAGAGCATCTCTGAACAATCAGTTATTAATTCTGTATGTGAGTACAACATGTTAACCCCAATCTAGATTACTAACGGAAGTCTCTCAGAACTATTTTTTTAGTAAAATACAAATCATTTGCCTAACTCTTCCAAGCACTGTACCAAATGTCAGAATTGATTTATCAGGTCCCTTATCAGACACAGAGCAGCTTTTGTCTTCCCTCCCTCTTCCTGAACTCCTCAGGATATCACATCTCATATGAGGCTGCCTAATGAAATCTTTTCTCTCATGACCTCATTATTAGTATACAAATCATATTCCAGTAGTTAAAACTTCCAGAAAAACTCCCTCCCCTTTGTTCTCTGAGCTCTCTGTAGGTATTTGTATAATCTGTCTCTAGAACGCAGACTTGGAACAGCATATTCACTCCTCATCAGTAAGGATTTTCTCTAACCCATTTTTAGGATTTACACTGGATTTTAAATGCAGACTTCCTCTGGTCTCATCTGCGAATATACAACAACAGCCATGGTTGTTTCCTTTCAAATTTTCTGGTTGGAGCTCACCTGTTCTGCTTCCTTTGGTCGCTCTCCAGTCTGCATCTTTCTTAACCCTTCTCTTGAATAGGTCTCTTGCTCATTGCCTGTTGTCTGCTCAATGCACACGTGCACATTCACTTGCTTACACATGCACACACTGACCACAGTCACCACCTCACAGTGTTTTACATATTTGCACCTTAAAAAGCAGCAGTGGTGCAGATCAAATCTTGCTCTGGATACTATTAACATCATATACATACAGCTATCCCAGAGGAGAGCAAACAAAGAATAATAATGAAATGAGGCATATCTCAGTATTCTATTCTACTATCTTACAGTTACAGTGATATTTGGAAGTTTGGGTCATTAAAAATTGGCATTACTGCACTTTTGCTTGAGGTCATTCTTTGTGGTTCACACAATTTGAGTTGAGGAAGTTTTTCAGCATGTTTGGATAGTTTTGTTGAGCAAATTTATTACCCTGACGATCCATGTGGGGAGATTTAAAATAGCAGTAACCACTAATTTGTATATTCCAGAAATAAAATACCATTGTTTCTATGTACATTAACACATTTTAGAGTTTGTGAAACAGAGGCCAAATAATGATAGAGTCCATGAGTTGAGATGTTATGCCTCATTGGAATAACAACATTTCCTTGCTCTCATGACCAGTCTTTTCACTGGCAGATCAGGAGGCTGTGTGGTTGTGCACACACATGTTATGTGAGACTCAGCAGTATAGTTTAAGGTCAACAGACATAACTAGTATCTTTTTTTTCGGAAAGGATCTTTGGAAGAAGCATACTCAAAGTAGGAATAGATAGTTGAAAGAAATAGGAATAACTACCAGCATTCCTGACTCTTCAGGATCATATTACTGGATACCAAGATACCTCTCTGATGTTTAAGAAATATGTCATTTCACCCACATGGCTTTCTAGTCTCAGGAAAGAAATCTGTAATTTTGGTAATGGTAAATAAACCATAAATCTTCAAATGTAGGTAAGCTTTCTCTCTTAAATTTTCTGAATTAAAACAAACAAAAAAAAAAAAAAGAAAAAAAAAAAGCCAGATAAATACTATTTCTCCTAAAGCCTACCATAATATACTGATTTAGGATTGCTATCGCTGTCAATGCTCAGTGTTTGAATAAATTGCCTGTGGCACAGATAACTGAAAACCACTTGAAGGAAGTATCATTCTGTATATAATTATCACTGGTATAAACAAGATGCTCCTTAGGTGTGCACTTAGCACTCACTGAACTCCCAAAGCCTTCCCCAAGCATATGGCAAGTTTGGAAACTGGGATAAATACTTTGGAGTAGAGACATCTTCAACAGTTCTGAAGTTCTGGGGAGAAATGTAAAGGGAAGCTTCCCAGGATAGTTACAGAGTCATCATTAAAAGTAAACCTGACAGGCTTCTATTAAAGATGAAGACTGTAGAGATCATCCAGCTCTGGGTGTCGGCACGGAAATAAACCAGATAAAAAAAGTACAGCATTTTCTCTGAAACCAGCAAATGTGAAATAATGACATAACGTTCAACTTTCAAATGCTCTTGATTTATATGAATGATTTAAATGGAAAGACTTCTTTAAAAATCAGTTTGCTATGACATGGAAGCCACAGAGAGTAGTGAGCGGCAGGTAAAATGTAGATAGAATGATATGAACCAGAGACATCAATAAGAAAGCATTCATCTTGGACAGAACATTAAGGAGGTAAGATGTATCAAAAATGAATGCACTCAAGCTAGGAAGAAGAATTAGGGACATTGAGGTAATGGTATCGTGTTCTCGTAAAAACACATTTAGACAAGGAAGGAGAGCAATTAGAGTGAACAGGATGCCGGGGTCGGTGCTTTTAAAGCACGGTAGCAAGTAAGTGTCACAGAATTTCAGATAAAATTAGGTCTTGCTTACTCTGAATGCTTAGTGAGTTGGATCCCTCTATTCCTCAAAATTTGCCAGAAAAGATGGAGATGGCTGACAGCTGTAGATGAATACTAGAAAATTCTTATCATAGAGAGAAGTGGAGGCACGTCTGGTCAGCAGGTACAGAATACCTGTCCAATAGAAGAGAGTAATAATGCATATTAGTAGCTTCTTCCTGTGACTGCAAAGTGACCGCTGAACAGAAGACAGGAGTCCTGTTATAATCAGTTCATGACAGATACTTGCTGTTAACAAGTTTTTCCTTGCTAATAATTTAGATATTTTTTTTCTGACTTATTAATGGTGATAAATATTAGTAGACTGGGATTCTCTCCAGATATGTAGGTCACTCTGAAAGCAATGCCTCCTATTTATTTCTGTGAAAACTACAACAGATACAAAGAGCACAATAGTGCTTTTTGACAGAGCAGATTCTCAACTACAAAATGCTTTCTCAACATAGTCACTACCATTAGCTATGCATTTTTGCTAGTGGTGAACAAGAGCCAGTATATCATGCTCATCAAAATCTGCACCAGAGAAGTGACCCGCAGTTGCTGTCACCATTGCTGAAATGCACCACCCACCACCTCACTGGGCTCACACTGTCTGGGCTCCATAAACATTCAGCAAGCATCGATGAATGTCAGTAGGTGCAAGATTTTCTGCATGGCAGAATTCAATGCCTTTGCCTCATACGTGCTTCCACGTCAGACACCATTATGTCAGTGTGCCCCTCTACTGCCATCTGTTACATGACAACAACATGTAACAGAATACTGGTGGGAAGCTTCTGCCACCACTGCTGTCACACCAACATCTACCTTTGATGTCATGGGCCAACACAGTGAAATATGAGGCATTACTTTCAAAGCAGCCCTTGTATAATTTCAGACATTAGGAGATAGCATTTGTGTTTGGTTTGGTGTTTGGTTGGTGATTGAGCTTCTCAACTAACTGCTAAGATTTTGCTAATTTATTTCTAGTAGCCTTATTAAAATAAAATGAACTCTGTTTCTGACATGAATGATGGCTATTATTTTTTCTATCACCACGGATCTCACTAGGACTTGAAGAAGGTTGACAGAGCTCTCTGAAGCAGCACAGTAAAACTGTTGGGTTCTGCTCTGACACAGTGCTGTCCCCCCTGTGGGTGCAGCTGCACGGAGGAGCATTCTGTACTCCCTCCACGAGTATTTCCCAACACACCACAAACTCATGCAGTCTGTGATAATGCAGTGATGGAGGAAAATATATACCGTCACTTTCTTTGAAGACACTGCAAATCTTTTATACCAGAAGAGATATCAAAGAGGTTTTTGATTATTATTATTTTTTTTCTGCAAATACGTAAATGCAAATCTTTGCTACCGTATTTTGGAGGAGCAAGTTTTTGTCTGTTATCCCTATCCATACAGTCAGAGCTTCTGAGGCTTGGGGGTTTAGGTTTGGTTTTATTTACAGGTTTTCATGTATGTGTCTTAAGTTGCTGCGGTTGCCACAACACTGTGGGCTGTACTAGTAGTTCTGTCTCATCCTCCTGAGAGTAGAAAACATGCACTACCACTTCTGCATGCCCTAGAGATGACTGTAACCCCTTATTGATCAGCTGGTTGAAGATAAATGACAGAGATGCTAGTACTTCAGTTTACATCATTAACATGGTCAGTAAAGCATGAATTGTTCAATAAGGCGTTTATCTTTTTTTCATTTTACTCTGTTCTTTTATCATTTTTATGGTGGTGTGCAAAGTTCTAGGCACTAACCAGACAGGTGAACTTCAAAGTTCAAGATCTGTGCGTGTATGGTAGTTGTCAGAACTAAGTGAAATCTAACAGCCGAAGGAAATTTAAATGTTTTTTAACATGAAGAAAATAAAGTTAAATGACCATTTTTCTTGCTATATTTCTTTTTCAGTTTCCTTTTGCCTCATATTTACTGGATGCCATACTGGCAAAATTAAATGAGAAGAAGAAACTCGGAGAAGAGTACAGTTCTCTCATGAAGCACAGTGTAACATAGGAATCTTCAAAAAGGGCGACTAGAGTGTGTGCTGTCTAACAATGTTTTTCCTGTTCGCATAAAGAACTGTCAATATGCATGTTCAATACATAAGAAGAAGCTGTGAACTAATTAATCGTTGAACAAGAGGAATTAATTATGTTCCTGTTTATAAAGAAGTGTAGTGTTTCATTCTTGAAGACAAAAATTGCTGCACATCAATACAAAGTTAAACATGAATTTCCTTTAAATGCTTTGGCAGTGCATAGCAGCATGAGCTTTGTAGAGAGAGGATGTTTTTGATACGACCAATACAAATCCGTACAACTCTGTAAATACAGATAACACCCAAGTAACTCCTGATAGTACTGGTCAGAATGGTAGAACTAGGATTTACAAAGTATATGAGAATGTAATTGCCATTTTGAATACCTTATTTTGGCCTTTTTATAAACGCCAACTTTTCGATATATGCCACATAAAATTGTATGCACTCTCTCTGTCAGTAAATGAATGATTGTAGAAGGAAAACTATACAATGCAGAGTAATAATCCTCAGAAAAGTTGTATTTTCTTCTAAGTTGGGTGGCACTGTGTGCAATGAATTTAATTATATTTTTGAAAGTTCACTACAATAAAGTTATTTCCAATGTGGAATTTTTTTTCAGTTAGTAGTTCCATCAGAGTTTCAGTTCTTCCTCAGCTAGTATCAAACTGCAAGCCCTCACTTTGTTTGGGAAAATGGTATAGAGTTTTCTTTTTTTTTTTCCACTAAGATTTCTCTGGCAGTACTAAATGATTCCTCCTTCCTTGATCATAACATTTTGTATTCTTTTCAGCCATCCTATGTGAAAAAAAAAAGAAAGAAAGATTCCTGAGCTCATGTTTTACTGACATTTAGCTCTTCTAAATGTTTTTTCATGAATGGGTATCTTGTTTTGGGTATCACAAGCTTTCTCATTCCAAGCAATTCTGTGCCTGGTTTTGATGAGAGGCCATTTCTACCAACAAACTCACCTTCCTTATGTGACACCACTACTTCCCCAGCTGCTCCTTGGCAGCCAAGGGTGGGACATACCTGTGACATAAACATAACACTGGACATTTTCACAGAATCACAAATTTGTAGGATTTGGAGGGGACCTCTTGATGTCATCGACTCTAACCCTCTGCTTTAGCAGGGACTTAGAGAACCTACAGTAGGTTGCACAGGAAAGGATCCAGGAGGGTTTTTGACAGTCTCCAAAGAAAGAGACTCCATAACCCCTCTGGACAGCCTGTTCCAGTGCTCTGCCACTCTCTAAAGCTCTTATACTAACATGAACCTTCCCATGTTCCAGTTTGTGGCTATTGTCCCTTGTCCTGTTGCTGGGCACCACTAAAAAGCCTAGACCCATCTTCTTGACACCCACCTTTTAGATATTTGTAAATATTGATACAAGTACTGATCCTGTCAGTCTTCTCCAGGCTAAACAATCCCGGGTCTTTTTGCCTTTCCTCAAAAATGAAATGCTCTAGGCCCCTCTGCTGGACTCTCTTTAGAAGTTCCCTGTCTTTCTTGAACTGAGGAACCCAGAACTGGACACAGTATTCCAGATGTGGCCTCAACAGTGCAGAGTAGAGGGGTGATCTGCTGGCCACACACTTTTTTATGTACCCCAGGATACCACTGACATTCTTGCCCACAAGGGCACACTGCTGGCTCATGGCCAACCTGCTGTCCACCAGGTTGCCCAGGTCCTTCTCTGTAGAGCTCCTTTCCAGCAGATCACCCCCTAACATACACTGATATGCGAGGTTATTGCTCCCCAGATGTAGGACTGATTACTTGCCCTTCCTGAACCTCATCAGGTTCCTCTGTCTTCCCAACTCTCCAGCCTGCCGTCATCCCCCTTAATGGCAACACAACCTTCTGATGTGTCAGCTACTCCCAGCTTCATATCATCAGCAAACTTTTGACCTTTTATGTTGTCTTGGGCAATGAAACAACTCCATGTAGTGGAATTTCCCTCAAATTAATTTATTGCTAATTAACAAGTTTTTTATTATTCACTTTGGTAATGAGAAATCGAACAAATAAACAAGCAGTTGGGGAGCAGCTTGCCTTTGCTGCTCCCTGCTCACAGTTCTCCTGCTCCTTGCTACTTGGGGTTGAGCAGTCAGTACGTTTCTTGTTTCTCCCTTCCCTGTGGACCTCTGGCACCTTTCCTGGCCTTTCTTCTGCCCCAGTGTCCCTTATGCATCAAGCATAGGCATCAGTTCTGTGATCAGGTGCCCCCTTTTATTTTATCTCTCCTGCCCTGCTTGGTCTCTGATTTTTCCATCAGTGTCTCTCTAGCCCAGGACCATCACCTCACTCCCTGAGCCCCATGTTTAGCAGCACTCCGGGCCCTGTGATGGGCACAATACGGGGCTGTAGTGTGCACATGGAGCCAGAGCTAGAGTCAGAGCTGGAGCCAGCTGAGATAAGATGAGGGCAGACCCTCAGGGCTCGCATCCATTCAAGGCCAAGCCCTGCATCCACCCCCTAAAACCCAGTCCTGTGCTTAACAGTGTCATGCTAATAGGCTGTCTGCCCATCTGGTCCACGTGTTAGCATGGAAGCTTAACTATGAGACAAACCTCAAAGTCTTAAGTTCATAGTGATGAAGCACATGGTTAAGTACTGGACACAATGGTCAGAAACAAAAATAAAAAATTTGTATTACCCATGTTACTTTTAGCCACTTTGAGCCTGCATTGCATGGCATTCCCCACTGTGGCTTCAAGATGTTTAGTTGGACAGAAGTACTTGGCCTGTTATAGAGAGCAGACATCAGAGAGCTTCATTAGAGGCCTGGCTTCTTGCTTCAGCCATAGATTTCCATGCTCTCTAATCTACTAAGGTAATGAAACGAGCTTTCAAAATCCATCATGGTCTGTACAGCACTGCTTTTTTACTTTCTAAATTTAATATTACAAAAAGACACAATTTCTCTCTGCCATCCCTGCTGGTCTGCTTAGAGGAGCCAGTGTATGCAAGCTGTCTGTGCCAGCAAAAACAAAAAACACTTCTCAATCTCCCAAGTCGCCTTTTTCTTACTGGTGCCCCCTAAGACAAACAAATGTAAAGGGAGGCAGCAGGAATCCCTTATGTTTGCTACGCCAGGTTGCTCCTTCTGACTCGGAGGAGATTATCTTAAATGATATCTTTTAACAAATAGGTTTTAAACCTCTACCCCCAACACAAGTGTCATGTTACTTTGTCTCCTTTGACATGCAATAAGGAAATGTGGCAAAATGCACATTTTGAAAATAGGTACACACAAACACACTGATGGTCCCCCTTGGATTCTGATGTCTTTGATGTCTCTTCTGTATCATCTATTACTTCCTTGGGTCAGTGGCACATCTTTTTCTTTGCAAATTGGCTTCCAGCCTCCAAGAGCATTAAGGTGGTGAGCAAGGTTCAGATTGTTATTCACTACCTCATTCATTCTTTCATGCTATGGAAATACCAGACCAGCCCACTTGGACTCATCCTCAGCATAGAGCATAGGAATTCTTAGTTTATCTTCGTTCCTGTGCCCCTGTTGTGCCTTCCTGGTGGGAAAGGAGGAGAATGGGCAACGCTGAAGTGACCTCAGCTGTAGCCTTTACCCCCAGCTCTGACGCCTCCTGTGGTCAGTGCACTTTCTGCAGAGCTAACCATCAGGACTGCTTGTTGTGGGGAAAAAAGTTTAACCACCTCTGCTCTCTCCTATCTCTCCTTCAGTAGGACTGAAGAAAAGCTCAGCGTCTGAGCTGAATGTGGACAACTGAAGACTGCACTGATCTCAGGAAAAGAGGGGCATCTTTTAAGAGAAAGGAAGGAAATATTACACTTCTGAAATAATGCCAGCCTCTCAGTAAAAGTGCAGGATTGTGGTGTTCTGCTCTTTCTGCTGTAATGTACAACATGCTGTAAGCATGGCATGTTCAGAAAGCAGTCTCCCCATAGTACTGTGGGCTTTGGCTAGACTTCCTTCACATGCTAATAAGTACCACCCCACCCTGCACTACACACATTCCAGATTTAAAAGTGCTTGTTTCATTATCAAATGCAAAATTAAATACAGTGCGGCAAGATTAAGGTTGCTGTATCAAATCAGTGTAAGTAGTTGTCATCATCAGCCTTTAATGACCATGACACATAACTCGTCTACTATTCAGGTGAACTGCAATTTACCTTGCCTGCTCTTCTTTGGGCAGTGTCATTGCATGGGGTATTTTCTGGATGCATCCAAAGAAGAATCAGCTGCACAGACAGGTGCCAATTTGATCTATCCCTGTATAAGTCTGTTGAGAGGCTGGGCTGAGATGGGAGGAGAACGATTATAGCTGACATAAAACCCAAAAACCATAATGAGAAACAGAAGAAAAACAAATAAACAAGTAAAACCATACCTTAGATTTTATGATGAAGAAGAGCAAATAAACACCTTATTACTGTCCATGTGTTCAATGAAATTATAGCACAGAAATTATTGGTGCTCTTTCTGGAGAATTCACTGGAGAGCTTGTCAAGTATCTTTGATAATGTTTCTCAATCTGATAAAGGTATTTTTTAAAAATATTTATTTCCAACACATCTTATATAATAATGAAATTGAAAAATGAAGTATCAGCGTTATTCTAAGAAACATTTTCATCTAGTTTGAGATATTTTTGTAAGAAAAAACATGCTGACATTTGGAATAAACCAATTTTTTTACATAACTCTTTTACTAATGTTAAATTCTATTTCCATAATTAATTCTTCCTTCTTAATTCATTTTTGTCCTGCCTGCAGAAGAAGTGAGGGCTTCTGAACGGTTAAAATATCCTCTCTCATACGGACCAGCTGCGGACTGTACAACTACAACACAAATTAGCACAGAATTGATTCTGATTTGAGGAGAAGGATCAGATTGAATCTCTTGAGATGCTATTGCTAACAAATGTAAATATAAAATATTATAAAAGGTGATGGTATTTTCGACTAACTCTACAAACGAACACTCAAAATTATCTGTTTCTGTCCTTTTACATCCTGGTGCTTTCTGATACGACCTCTAGATGGCAAACTTTCACAAAAAATGGGTTCAGTGCTGACTTCTGGACTCAGCTGTGAGTGGTTTCACCTGTGCATCCCAGGTAGGATATTTTATTCTTGGAAACTCTGAGGCGCTATGCCAGGACGACCTGACACTCAGGCTATAGTAATTTATATTGAAACGTGAGATATATTGGCTATTTAGAGCCATTATGTGAGGTGTTGCAGAGACAAGATACAAAGAGCACTTATATTTGATAGAGCAAATTCTCAGCTACAAAACTCTATTTGTAGACATACTCACTGCCATTAGTCAATTCATATGGATGACCTGGTGGAAATACTCTTTATTTCATTGTGTAACAGCTGTGTGTGGCTCCCTGGAAAGTGTCTTGGGTTCTGTGTCACTGTTGCCATTGCTGAAATGCACCACCCACCACCTCACTGTGCTCACATCCACTATTGGATGAACTATGAAAGTCAATCAGTGCCATTTTTTCCACATTGAGTAATTCAGAGATACACCTTTGCCTCATGCATATTTTCATGTCAGGTCTTTCGGTCAGCACCT